GTGTGTGTGTGTGTGTGTGTGTGTGTGGTGTGGTGGTGGAGCGGGGAGGTGGAGGTGGTGTTTGCACCTAACACCTCTATACATATTCACTCTTCTTTTCCTGAAGGGGCTCAGAAGCCTTCTGTTGAATCTAACCCTTCTCTTCCCTGCTCTCAGACACTTCCTGGTTTCTCTCACATAAGAGCTGGACACTCAAGAATATGGCACCCAGGTGTCATGCTTCCATAGACAAAGCTTCTAGTAGCAGAGCTTGTTTTTATTTCTGTATTTCTTTATCTATTGTAGTTCCTTTGTTTATATATATATATTAGTGTTTGTCAGATGTCATTAGCGTTTTACAACTTTTTGATGTCAGTTACCACACATTACCACTTTGATAATACTTTGCCAATCTCTAGGTCCATACAGTCCCATAAAAATCAGATAGTTTGTGACTTTTTTAAAGAAAATATTTATTACATACTGTATTTGAATACAAGTTGAGTGAATATGATATAAAGTTCCAAAGGTACAGAGTGTACGGTGGAAAGTAAGCCTCCTTCCCACCCCTGGCCTCCAGTTTCTCACTCCAGAGATAATGTTACCACTATACCCGCATAAGCTCATTCTCCTTCTGTTTCTTTAATAACTTATGACTGGCAGACTTCAAAAAAACTGCTTTGATCACCTGCACACCAGTGATTTGTTTCTTTAATCTACCAAGTTTTACATTTGTTATTTTAGTTATTTGTTAGTTTCTGTCTTTTCTGTTTTTCTGCTGGCTACCCTGAAATGCCAGGGATTCAGGCCATTTTGGGGAGGATCTTGTGGCCTTGGGGATTAACAAATTGATTGGCTTCTAAATACCTTGAGGTCAGAGACCGTGATTTATTCAGCTTTGGTGCTCCCTGAATAATCTTTCACAATTACTACTGAGTATTAAGTCCATACTAGTATTCACACAGGCTGGATTTAGGAAGAACTGCTACAGTAACCTGGTACTTACACGGAACCTATTGGTTTACAGAATCCAGGCTTACAGGTTAACTGGGTCTAATTTATGAAGTAGGTGTTAACCAGGAAGGCAGTGTTTGTAATGGTTAAGAAAGAGTGCATTAAAGTTTGAATCCTGCCTTGGACACTGGATTTGTGATGTGGGCTAGTTATTTAGACACCTCATACAGCTGTCTCATCTGTGAAGTGTTGACTGTTAGGGTTATTTTTCAAAGATTTAGGGGGTAGAAGTGGTTTTTTGCTACATGGATGTATTATGCAGTGGGGAAGTTAAGGGCTTTTAGTGTACCTGTCGCTGGAATAAATTTTAATAAATATTATTTATTAATAAATAATAAATTTTTCTCCCCTCCCCATTTTGAAGATCAGATGATATGTGTAAAGGGCTTAGCACTGTGTGTGGCACATCAAAAGCATATAGTAACCAGTACCTCTTATTACTGTCAGAGTTTGCTGGCATTTCTTACCTTCATAAAATAGATGAATGCATTTGTCACCTCTGGCTGCAGTAACAAATGGCACAATAACAAATGACCTAAAAAATCTCAGTGGCTTAGAGGAAGAAGGGTTGATTTTCTTAGTCATATTAGATGTCCTTTATTTGTCTGTCTTTGGGCCTTCTCTCTGTGACCTAGGCTGAGCTGCTTCTTTTAAGACTGCTGTTTAGGCATGAGAAAGAGGGAAGGCAGAACTACACAGGGGCTTTTAGGCTTCTGCTTGGAAGGGAGTTTCTGCATCACTTTGGTTCACATCCCATTGACATGGTTGTTAAATGGAGTGGACCATCATTCTAAAGGGCCAGGATTGGCCTGGGCTGTTCGACCGTAATATAGTCTGCTTCAGTGTTTGACAGAGTCTCAGTTGTGAACCCAGAAATCCATCAGTCCCTGAGGATTGATTCATACTGAGACTCTTAGCCACTGACTTTGTAAACCAAAGTGCCAATTTTTTCCCTTATAGTGGGTATTTCCACTGGGGCCTAGGTAGGCATAAAAGCCTCTGTGGGACAAATTTTTCTGAGCCATAGATTTGGTCAAAAGACTGGATTATTAGCTAATAATTTATGTAAAGTACACACAAACACAATTTGGAGGTTGCTAAAAGACTGTATGTATCCAGAATGCACCATGATTTTTAATCCAATTCTCCATATGGAACAGGAACTATAATTGTCCAGAGTCCAAGAGTGAGCTGCAGTGATGGTGGCCTATGCTGGACAAAGCTGAGGATCACTAACAGACACTTGCTATTCTTTTTAAGGCTTTTTTTGAGACAGAGTCTTACTTTGTTGTCCTCGGTAGAGAGCTGTGGTTTCATAGCTCACAGCAACCTCAAACTCTTGGGCTCAAGTGATTCTGTTGTCTCAGCCTCCTGGGTAGCTAGGACTATAGATGCCTGCCACAACGCCCAGCTATTTTTTCGAGATGGGGTGTTGCCCTTTGCTCAGGCTGATCCTGCTCAGGCAATCTACCTGCCTCAGCTTCCCAGAGTACTAGGATTACAGGCCTGAGTCACTGCACTTGGCTTAAGGGTCTTATCAACAGCAAATTCTTTTCTCATCACCTGCTAATTGCATAATCCCATGACTTATTATAATCATTCTCTTTTCTGTGGTCTGCTTCTTAATTAGTGAGACTATTTACCACAATTGAAGTGTCTTCAAATCATAGCATAGGCTGGATTAGCTACTTCTATCCATTGTGTGTTCATTCTTGCTGGCTTTGGTTTCATGGTAAGTTTTACCGTTCCTGGCCTAGGATTTTGAGGGTTCCTCTCACTTTTGTTCTGCTTATAAGTAGGTATCTGCTTGTATAGTGCAATATGCTATAATAATGTTCAAAAACATATTATGGATTTGAATATAAAATTAAACACACATTTCCAAATCAATCAGAAATGTTACTTAGCTATGTCATTTGTGGAATAATTGAATAAATTGAGAATCTGATTTTTAGCAGCATAACTTTCCAAAACAGAAAGAATTACTGAATTTTTTAAAGTAAATGGCAACAAGCATAGAAAGAAAATTCTGGGAAACATTCTGGTTTATAGGTTTTCTTCCCCCAAACCAACATAATTTGATGGTTACATCTACTATAGATGGCAGACAAAAACCACTAAGACTACAGATTAACCTCACTTAAGACTGCTGACTCCAAAATCTCAAGTTAGTGTAAGAAGATAGGGTCCAGTAGCACAAGCATATGAGGGTTGTCCAAGGAATGCAGGCAGCTCTCAGCGTCTCTCTATTGGTATAATTCATCTCTACACCTAAGTAAAAGAATTCTATGTAGCTGTTAAAGAATGAGGTACAGTTATATATGTAGATATGGAAAAGAAACCTTCCCGTAAGTATTTTATTGAAAAAATCCAAGGTCCAGAGCTAAATATACTGTTTCTTTTAGTGTAAGTAATTTTTTCTCTGCAGAAAAACCTGCGTGTGTGTGTGTGGTGTGTGTGTGTGTGTGTGTGTGTGTGTGTGCACGCACATACTCAGTTATGCTTGTTCTATAAAGAAGATCTCTGTGAAGGTAAAAGCAGTTTTTACAGTGGTTGACTCCAGGAAAGGAAGACAAAGAGTTAAGGTTGGGGGTAGAGGCTACAGGTTTTTCAATTTTTTGTTACTGGTTGAATTTTAAAATAATGCGCATGTCATTTTAAAAACATAAGCTCATTTTACAATAGCAGTTCCATTTCAGAATAACCTCACAAAAGTTTTAGTATCTAATTCTCCCGTCCTGTTATATGCCTTTAAATACTGCACTGATTAACAAAGATCAATGTAGTGAAGTGGAGGTGGAGGGCACCTCAGGGCCATCAGCTCTACAGTGATGTGGTTAAAGGCAGTTAAGCTGTGCTTTTTTGTGGTTAAGGACAGTTTGTCTATCCAGGCATTAAGAACCATTGACTAAAATAAATAATTCCAGTACCAGTGTAGGCTATGATACTGAGAACTACCTTATAGAGTTTATTTTTTTTTTAAGTATGTAGTGTCTAAATTTTAAAATTATAGAATAAAATAACCACTTTAAGCATTAACTTTTTAATCATTCTACTAGAAATCTAAGTGAAGACATAAGGGGTAAATATTGCAATTATTTATTGATAACTATTAAATTTCTTTAACTGGCTTTCACAATTTATATTACATCTAATTGCAATACAGTTACTAAACTATAGGTTTCTTTATGTGTATATCCTCTGAAGTTATTCAAATCACAGGGAATTTTATCTCCTGGTTTTCTTTTTAAAATACAGCTGTCACATACACCCAAGGTGGTGGGTTCGAATCCAGCCTGGGCCTGCCAAAACAACAATGATGGCTGCAACCAAAAACTAGCCAGGCATTGTAGCGGGTGCCTGTGGTCTCAGCTACTTGGGAGGCTGAGGCAGGAGACTCGATTGAACCCAGGAGTTGGAAGTTGCTGTGAGCTGTGATGCCATAGCACTCTACCCAGGGGGGTAGCTTGAGGCTCTGTCTCAAAGAAAAAATACAGCTGTCATAGTTTCTGGGGGCCTACATACTCTATTTAAATGAGAAAGGAACTGAGGTTTCTTTGCTTTCTCCAAATCATTTTATTGTTAATAATCATTCCTTGTTATTGGCCAGATTCTATGTATGGTCTTACAGTCAAACTAGAAATGAAAACTAAAGAGATGGGAAAAGGTAATACACAAGTCTCACGGGATTTTTGGCATACGATTTTAGATATCTTACCAGTTAAAGTAGTCAATGCATTTTCTTAAAGTCTAAATAAATCACCCATCAGAAGATGCTCAGCAGAATATTAGGATCAAAGTTCTCAATGCCTCTAATATGTAGGCAGGAGTTAACTCTGTGGTTTAATTTATTGCAGGTGGGTTTTGTGCACATCATGACCAGTTTTGAAGATGCTGACACAGAAGAGACAGTAACTTGTCTCCGGATGACTGTTTACCATCCTGGCCAGTTGGAAAGTGGAATATTTCAATCAATAAGGTTTTATAACCGAGAGAAACTCTCTTCCAGTGAAGTGGTGAAGTTTGGCCGAAATTCTAATGTCTGTCATTATACTTTTCAGGACAAACAGGTTTCTCGAGTTCAGTTTTCTCTGCAGCTGTTTAAAAAGCTTAACAGCCCAGTTCTCTCTTTTGAAATTAAAAATATGAGTAAGAAGATAGACTTAATGGTTGACAGTTCAAAGCTGGGCTACCTAAATAAAATGGACCTACCATACAAGTGCATGGTCAGATTCGGAGAGTATCAGTTCCTGATGGAAAAGGAAGAAGGAGAGTCATTGGAAGTTTTTGAGACTCAATTTATTTTTTCTCCAATATCACTCTTACAAGAAAATAACTGGCCCCCACACAGGCCCATACCTGAGTATGGCAGTTACTCATCCTGTTCTACCCAAAGTTCTTCTCCTACAGAAATGGATGAAAATGAATCATGAACACAGAGAGTCTGAGAGGGGAAAGAGGAGGACAAAGAGCTCCACAGATGCTTTATAGACACTACTTATGGAGAGACTGTTAGTGTAGTATACCACGGTCCTCTGTCACGTGGTCAAATTTGTTTTATCATTTTATCATTTTATCATTTTAAAGTCTGCAGATTGTGTTGGTCATCAACTTAGTCATCTGTTGCATTCCTGGACCTATAAAGAATCTGTGAGGGATGAAATAGTGTTCTCAAAATAAGGTTACATTATTTTTTCTTTGTGCTTGATTTCCTTCCTGTGTGTTTTATTTTGTGAGAAACAGTCTCTTGGTTTGTTCACGTCATTTCATGGCAGCCATTTGTTTTCAAGGTCAACAGCCAGCAGGTTGTTACTAATGTTCGCAGCCCCTTGGTGCTGTAGTACCCAACTACTGGAATGTGTTGTAGACTACTGTCTGTGTCGGGGAGGTTTGAATATGGGAAGACTTATTTGGGAAATAAAACCTTGCTTTTCTATAGAATTGTAGAGTTCTTATTCCTAACATGCCAGTTTTCCTTGTCTCCAGTCAGCTTCTGAAACTGGTGTTTAAACATTATAACGAAGCACTGTGTTAAATTTAGAATTATTTTCTTACCAAATACGAAGTTTGGTTTTTATGTACCATATACAGTTTTTAAATTCTATGGACTTAACATTTTTAATAGCATCCACACACCTAATAAAGTCTAAGTGTAATTTATCAAGCATTTTCTTTGGTGCTCTAGTTTCTAAAGAAGGGAAGGAACTGTTCTTGGGCCACTTTCCATAGGTAAATATATGGGAATATTTATGATAAATGCTAAGATATTTCTAAAAGTTTATCTACAGAACAAGTTGTCTTTATTTAAAAGATTCTTATTCAACTAATTTGTAACTAAAGTAGTTAGTAAATGTTAAATAAATAATGGTAACCATTCAGTTAAGTTAAACTCTAGCATTACCAGGTAGTGAAGCTCCCTGTAAAATTTTCCAGGTAAATAAAATTTCCTGCAGTAAGGGACCATATTTTTATAATAACTTTTTTTTTTTTTTCAGTTTTTGGCCAGGGCTAGGTTTGAACCCACCACCTCCGGTACATGAGGCCAGCGCCCTACACCTTTGAGCCACAGGCGTCACCCTTATAACAACTTTTTAACATACATTTTTTTTACTTTTTAAATATTTTTTTATTTCAAATTAATATGAGGGAACACATTTGTAGCTTACATTGTCCTCACTTCCAAGGTAAAATTCAAGTTGTAAGAGAGCCCCTCACCTGGGGGTGAGGGGGGGATGCGGAATACCCTCGTCTGGTCTGTATTCTATTAAAAGAGAGGGTTTAAGCCCCCCCCCCCCTTTTTTGATTCAGACCATTGGTCACTCTTGGGCTATAGTTTATGATGTCTACTCCCCAGCCCTGGAACTGTAGAGTGACTCATTTGTTACCATACAAAGTGGCCTGAACAACTCTTCCAGTTCCTATGTGTAGTTTTCCTGTGTTAGGCAGAGTAGGGCCTGTCCAAACGTGTGCAGTTTCCATGTACTAATCTCCAGAACCTGTGACTATGTTCTTAAATGGCACAGGGGATTAAGGCAGCAGATAGACTTAAGGTTGCTTCTCAGTTGACCTTAAAATCAATTATCCTGGATTATCTGGGTAGGCTCATTTGATCACAGTGTCCTTAAAAGGAGAAGAGAGGCAGATCAGGATGTCAGAGTAATGAGGTCTGAGAAAAACTTGACCTGCTCCTGCTGGGTTTAAAGATGGAGGAAGGAAGCCCTCAGCCAAGGAATGTGGGCAGCCTGCTGAAGCTGGGGAATGTCCCTGGACATATGGAAGCTGGGAAAGGAAAAGAAACCTTCAGAAAGGAATGAGCCCAGTAAGGCTGTGTCTGACTTGCTCGCCTACAGAACTTTAAGATGATACATGTGTGTTGTTGTAAGGTACCAAATTGCAGTAATGCGTTACCACAGCAAATAGAAAAGTAATATACTCCCCTTGACCCAAGGTTACCTACTGTCACTTTTTGGTACAACAAACAATTATGCTATCTTTTTGTAGGCTTATAGCATTGTGTGTGATGCGGATTCACAAAGTAAACTACCAAGCCTGTTAGAACTGCTTACAGTGTTAGTCTCTTGGGCAAAGGGTTTCTGTGAGTGTAGGATATATACTTCACTGTCTGCATACTGTCACATTGTGACCGTTTAAGAAAGCTTTCACTTCTGTTTCTTTTTTTTTTTTCTTTTGCATCTATTTCTGTTGCCCAGGCTCACAGCACTCTCAAACTCCTAAGTTCAAGCAATCCTCCTGCTTCAGCCTCCCAAGTAGCTGGGACTACAGGTGCCCACCGTAACACCCAGCTATTTTTTCTATTTTTAGTAGAGATGGGGTCTTGCTTTTGCTCAGGCAGGTCTCAAACTACTGAGCTGAAGCAATCCATCTGCCTCAGCTTCCTAGAGTGCTAGGATGACAGGCGTGAGCCACTGATATATGAGTTGCTAAATTATAAAGTTTTGATATTAGGGAACTTATATATTGTCACTGAACCCAAAAAATGTTAAGTGATTTTTAGGGCCAGAAAAATCTCATATTCTTATAAAATAGTTAACGATTTCTCCTAATATATATCTTGGAAGTGTTTGTTCAACTTGAGAAATATTAACTTTAATGTTTTTCTATATTTTTTCTTAAAAGATTGGCAGAGAAGTGGGTAGGTTGCTAAATAGTAATTTATCATT